CTAGCTTTAAACTAAGGCAGGGCTGTCATTTGGATTGTTCCTTTCAGTGAGATCATGACCTGAGTCGAAGTTGAAAGCTCAACCGACTGAGCCACCCGGGCACCCCAGATACGCATTCTTTTTAAAAAAAAATTTTTTTTTTCAACGTTTATTTATTTTTGGACAGAGAGAGACAGAGCATGAACGGGGGAGGGGCAGAGAGAGAGGGAGACACAGAATCGGAAACAGGCTCCAGGCTCTGAGCCATCAGCCCAGAGCCTGACGCGGGGCTCGAACTCACAGCAAGATCGTGACCTGGCTGAAGTCGGACGCTTAACCGACTGCGCCACCCAGGCGCCCCCCAGATACGCATTCTTAAATGCATGTCTTTATATAATTAATAGTGCTGTTTCTGTGGGCCATGTTACATAAATTATATTGTGCTAAGAAGTCTCTATTCCTTATTTTTCCCCCTAGTACAGTTTTTAGGATCTATTCATTTCAGTGTGTTTACATTTAATTTATTTCCTCTCATAACTGATGGTATTGTACTCTAATACATTTTTCAGATCAGCTTCAATTTTTTACTAACATAAGCAGTACTGAGACAAACATTCTTGTTCTGATCTCCTCATAGATTTGTGAAAAACTTTCTCCAGATATGTGTCCAGATATATGTTGCTGCTTTGGAGGTTATGGGTTTAATGACTCCCTCTAAGTACTGCCTCTCCACTACATTGTGGAGTTTATATTCCCACCAGTAATGCTGGGGATTCCCTATTTCCTACCTCCTGCCAGACACAGGGAACCATCCAAATTTAAATTTTGTCAATCTCATCAGTGTTAATTGATGGTTCAAGCTTTCATTTTTCTCATCCTGGTCGAGTTTGAATGTGTTTTCATACGTTTTTTTAAACTTTTGGGGTTCATTCCTCATTTGTCCAATGGGCTCCCTGTCTTACCGATTTTAAAAAATTCCTTGGTAACCAAATTATTCATCATGTGCCATCTTGTGTAGAACAACTATCTGCACCCAATCTTTCACTCTTTGTTGAATGAAAGTTAAAAAAAAAAAAAAAAGTTGTACTGAAAACCATTCATTTTCTGTTTTATAATTTTGCTTTTTGGATCTTATTTAGGAAGTGTTTCTCTATCCTAAAGACACTGACATAGTGCCCTCCATTTTCTTGCTTTATTTTCATATTTTTATATTTTATATTTGAGTTTAACTCATTTTGAGTTTATTTTTCAACATGATTTGGGGAAGAGACTTAGGTTTACTTTTCTACATTAGTGTGGACCAGTTTTCTCAACACTGTCTACTAAAATGAGTTCTTTTCTTTTCCCACTGATATATGGTGCCATCTTTATAATATTTCACATTACCATACTTATAAACTTTATTTTCTGTTGCAGAGATGTATCTGCTTCTTCATCAGTACAGTACTATCTTTTTTGCTTTTATTGCTCTTTATTATCTGATGGAATGATGTTCCTCCTGCTCTTTGTTGTCAAAACTGGCCTTTTTGTTTTATTTATATATATTTATTTGTATATATTTTTACACTGGGTGTGTATGTATGAATGTTTGTTAGGTTCTGCAAAATATGCTGGAATTTTTGTTAGGATTTCATTTAATTTATGGACCAAATTTAGGAAAAAATAATATCCACATAATAGAAATATATGCTATTTTTAAGTTTAATATATCTCCTCATTTATTCAAATATGGTTTTATGTTTTTTAGGAGGGTTTTTAAATTAACTCCTTAAAGGTCTTATGATTTTAGTGTATTTCTAAGTATTCAGCATGAAGTTTCTGTAATTTTCTGGAATACATTATTCTTCATTTGAGGATGTTCTCTATTTTCAGCTTTCTAAGTTTTAACTGATAGATTATATTTGCAAATAATTTTTCATTGTCTATCGAAATAGCTATGTGGTTATTTACCTTTGCCCATTAATGTAGTGAATTACAATGCTACCTTGCTGATGTTAAATCATCCTAACTTTGGGGATAAATACTTTCGAATCAGAATAAATAATTAATATACTCCTATTTGATTAGCTAACTTGTTACGGTCAGGCATAAGGCAGGGTAAAGATAGGAGTCAGAGGCTAAAAAATTTTAGCAGTCAAAGGCTTTATTTGGGAACTAAGGTCTCGGGCGAGGTTCCGTGACTCAGGGAGAGAGAGAGAGAGGAGTCAGCGAAATCGCCCCCAGGTGTGGTGGGTGAGGTTTTTAAGCTGCAGCGGTTTCGGGTTTAGGTCCGGGTGGGCCTTTTTTGCCTCAGGTCATGCTGTTGCTCGGTGATTGGTTGACCCACAATTTGTTCTGGCACGCTACTAGGTGCTTTTCATTGGGTTGCTCTGGCAAGGTGGCCATCCCCTCTACTGTGGTTCCAAGGACATCCTAACATTCCAACCTCTTCTTGGTGATAATGGGCGATGGATCTGATCTGGCTGCTTCCTGTGGGTGTAAGGGCGATATCATGGTATGTGGGGTTTGAGGTTGGAATGCGGGAATATGGCCGGACCACCATCTGGTGTAATGCAACCTGGGAAACTTCATGAATTCGTTTTCGTACGAAACGGAGAATGCAAGGTAAGAGCATAAGTATTATACAGATAGCAACTAGTGTGACTATGGTGAGGAGCCAAGTTAGGAGGGGTGACTGCCACTAGGAGGTTAGGGGGTCTGAGGATCCTGGGCGGACGGATAGAGTTTTGTGGATTTCCTTTAGGTGTTCTATATTGGTTTCAACTAAGCCTGAATCATTGAGGTAGTAGCAACATTCCTCCCTCAGGAACAGGCATGTTCCCCCTTTTTCTGCTGTCAGGAGATCTAGGGCTCGTGGGTTTTGTAGAGTGACCTGTGCTAGGGAGTTGATCTGCCTTTGTAAGGTGGATAGGGAGGTTGCTGAGGCTTCTAATTTATTGAGGATGTGTCAGCCCAACAGGGGGTTGGGGCAGGAGGGGATGACTAGGAAGGAGTGGGAGAAGCGGAAGCCATCCAGGCAGCAGGTGAGTACCGGTGTGCATGGGGGAATGGAGGGGGTGCCATTTATGCCCATGACCGAAACGGAGGACGGCGTGGTGGGGCCGGAATAGCTCGGCAGGATGGAATAGGTAGCCCCTGTGTCCAACAGAAAGGAGATGGACTTACCCGCTACCTGGAGTTTTACCCTGGGCTCAGCGTGGGTCACCGGAGTTACTGAGTCTGGGCCTCGTCAGTCGTCATCCTCCATCTCCAGCAGTTGGAAGGCAGAGTCCAATCGGGGTGAAGCCTCGCCACGTGGGGGCGTTGCTAGTCTGTCGTCCCCTGGGTTAGGACAATCGGATTCCCAATGGCCCATTTGCTGGCACAATGGGCATGGACTGGTAGGCTTTTTGGGATGGGGACACTGATGAGACCAATGGCCTTCTTGGCCACATTTAAAGCTTGGCCCCGGAGGGGGCTGTGGTCCAGAGGGCTTTATTGTGGCTGGCCTCAGGGCAGCTACCAAGGCTTGGGTCTGTAATTGTACCTTTTGTTGGAGACGGGCCTATCGCCTTTGTTCTTGAGCTTCCTCTCGGCCATTAAAAACTTTAAAAGCCATCTTTACCAGGTCGGCCATAGGGGTTTGAGGACCATCTTCGGCCTTTTTTAGGTTTTTTTTGAATATCAGGGGCTGATTGGGAAATAAAGTAGGTGGCCAATACTGTGGCCCCGGCGGGGGTGGTAGGGTCTAGTCTGGTATACTGGGTAAGTGCCTCTGTGAGCCGGCTAAGGAAGGCTGTGGGGTTTTCATTGGGGTCCTGTATTATTTCTTGAAGTTTGTTAAAATTTACTGATTTGCTTGAGGTTGCCCTCATGCCTGCTAGTAGGCACGGGATCATCTGGTCCCGGCGCTGGTGACCATTGCCTGCATGTTGGTAGTTCCAATTGGGGTCGGCCGCCGGGACAGCATCGGCCCCTACAGGCATAGTGGGGTCGGTCATGTGGGTTTGGTCTGCATGTTCCCTGGCTGCGGCCTGGATGCGCTCCCTCTCCTCAGGGGTGAGGGTAGAGGTGAGGATTACATGGATTTCATACCATGTGAGACTGTAGGCTTCGGCAAGGTATTGGAATTCCTTAATGTATTGGGTGGGGTCAGCCGAGAATGACCCTAGCCGCTTTTCAATGGCGGATGAGTCTTGGAGGGAGAAGGGGACGTGAATGCGAACCAGGCCTTCAGGTCTTGCCACCTCACGGAGAGGTAAGATGGCCGCTGGGGTCTGTTCGTTGGGAGGAGTCTGAGGAAGAGTTCGGGATGATATGGGAGGCGAGGGCGGGACGGCTGGAGGTTGGGAGTACGGAAGGGGGAGGAGGGAGCTCAGCCAAGGGAGGCAAGCTACTACCTCCCCCGGCTTTCGGCACCAAACATTAGGGTCAGGCGTAAGCAGGGTAAAGATAGGAGTCAGAGGCTAAAAAATTTTAGCGGTCAAAGGCTTTATTTGGGAACTGAGGTGTCGGGCGAGGTTCCGTGACTCAGGGAGGGAGGGAGGGAGAGAGAGAGAGAGAGAGAGAGAGAGAGAGAGAAGTCAGGGAAGTCGCCCCCAGGTGTCGTGGGGTGGAGTTTTTAAGCTGGAGCGGTTCCGGGTTTAGGTCCGGGTGGGCCTTTTTCGAGTCAGGTCGTGGTTTTTAAGCTGGAGCGGTTCCGGGTTTAGGTCCGGGTGGGCCTTTTTCGAGTCAGGTCGTGCTGTTGCTCGGTGATTGGCTGACCTCCAATTCGTTCTGGCAGCTACTAGGGCCTTTTCGTTGGGTTGCGCTGGCTGGCGAGACGGCCGTCCCCTCTACTGTGGTTCCAAGGACATCCTAACAATAGTAATGTAATGGACCTGTAATTTCCATTTCTTGTACTGTTTTTTAAAATTTGTATTAAAATTCCAGTTAACATACAGTGTAGTATTAGTTTTAGGTGTATAATACACTGTTTAAACACTTCTCTTCATTAAACACTACTTTTCACAAGTGCCCTCTTGAATCCCCATCACCTATTTACTGTTTTGATTCTTTGAATTTGAATAAACCAAGTTACTATTTTTTTTCCATTTTGTAAAATACTTGTAAAATCCAGGAATTATTTATTCCTTAAAATTTTATTAGAATTTATCCATAAAATTAACCTGGACCTAAGTTTGTTTTTTGTTTTGTTTTAGGGGAGAAATTCTTTGATTACCATGTTATTTAACTATCTTTAAATTTCCTGGTTTTTTGTTGCTCTGATTTGGAAATTTCCTACTTTCCTGATATTGTGCTTTTTTTAAAAAAAATTTTTTTACATTTATTTATTTTTGAGAAACAGAGTGAGACAAAGCGTGAGCGGGGGAGGGGCAGAGAGAGGAGACACAGAATCGGAAACAGGTTCCAGGCTCTGAGCAAGCAGTCAGCACAGAGCCTGATGTGGGGCGTGAACCCACAAACTGTGAGATCATGACCTGAGCCGAAGTCGGACGCTCAACCAACTGTGCCACCCAGGAGCCCCTGTACTTTTTTTAGATTTGGAAATTTATTAGCAATAGTCCTTTGTAGACATTTTATTATTTTCCTCATTCTTTTATGTCTGTTGCTCACTTTTCATCTGGGACATTTCCTCCCTTTCTTCTACTCCCCCAACACTCTCTCGCCAACCCCTCCTTCTTTTCTCTCTCTTTTTCTCACTTATTTGTGAAGTTTCCCTATTAATTAGCTCAGAAAATCAGCTTTTTGTTTTTATTATATCTCTTTTCACTTTAATAATTTCTAATATTAAAGTTATTTGTTCATTTTTGTTTTTGGATTTACTAAATTCCTGAGTTTAAATGTTTAGCTTAGGGGCACTTGGGTGGCTCAACTGGTAAAGCGACCAACTCTTGGATTCTGCTCAGGTCATGATCTCATGGTTTGTGGGATCAAACCCCTCGTTAGGCTCCATGCTGACACTGTGGAGCCTGCTTGGGATTCTCTTTCTTCCTCCCTCTCTGCCCCTCCCCTCTCACTCTCTCTCTCTCTCCCTCAGAATAAATAAACATTAAAAAAATAAATATTTAGCTTATTTGTTTTTCAGTATTTTGTTTTGTTTTCAGATAGAAGCACTTAAAGGTACAAATGCCTCTCTATGTTACAAGTTATCTGTGCCCACCCATTTTTGAATGTACTGTTTTATATCCTACTTAAGTATTTACTGTTTTATTTTAAGATTTTCTCTTTAGCCAAAGAGTTGTTCAGAAATAAGTTTTTTGTTCGCTTGTTTTTTTGTTTTTTGATTTTTTTTTTTTTTTGGTGATTTCCAGACAAGTTGTGCATCTTAGCTCTCCCTTTATGAATAATTTCTTATTTTAGTATATTTTTGTCAGAATATTACCTGAATAATGACGAATCTTTGGAATTTATACTTTCTTTGGTTAGTATATAATCAATTTGTTTGGATGTCCTATGTGTACTTGAAAAAAAATGTATTTACTGGTTACAGGAGGTAAAGTTCTGTATTTGTTAAATAAAACTATTTAAATCACCGTTTTAATATATTTCATGTTTGTTTTTTTTAATTTTTTGGTCTGCTTTTTCTGTTGATTGTTGGTTTCAGAGAAGTGTGTATCTTTTTTTTTATTTTTCATTTTTAATGTTTATTTATTTTGAGAGAGAGAGAGAAAGCATGCAGGAGGGACAGAGAGAGAGGGAGAGACAATCCCAAGCCAGCTCTGCCTGGTCATCTCGGAGTCCCACATGGCACTCACTCTCAAGAACTCTTAGGAATCATGACCTGAGCTGAAATCAAGGGTCAGACACTTAACTGACTGAGCCACCCAGGTTCCCCTAGTGGTTTAAATCTCCAAATATATAATTGATTTCTGTCTTTCTCCTCTTAGCTCTGTGAGCTGTTGGTTTATATATTTGGGGGTATATGGTTAGATGCATATGGTTAGATCCTTTTGTCACTCCTTAGCCCTATTGTTATAAACAGTTTCATAGCCAGATATTGATAAACCAACCAGAAAAGTAACATTTTTTTGCCTATTGCCCAGTATCATGTTCTTTTCTAACTCAGGGAATAGATTATGCATATGTGTATGAAGAAATGAATATTGAATTGGCCCTGCTAATACACACCTAACTCCCACATTCTGAGTGGAAAAGATAATTTGTTTCTCCAGTGGTAAATGGCAACAGATACTAGCACCTGGAATGCCTCATTGTTTGAAGGGGAATGTAGGACATGGGCTGATGGATATAAAGGGTAAACTCCGGCATATGGCATGTTACCTCATTTTTGTACCCCTTTTCCAAAGTAAGTGTTATTGTTTCCTCCATTTTACGAATAAAGGAAAAGGTTCAGTGAGGAAGCTTTATTTACCCAGTGCCACAGAGCCAATAAGTAATGGAAGTGAAAGAGAAGCATAGGTCATTTTGAGTCTGAATTTCACGTTCCTTGAATTAGGCCAAACTGCCATATTCTTCCCCTATTTCAAGGGAATTTGAGGTAGGGGAGTCCCTTTTACCTCAGGATTTTTGATAGGTTGAAAGTCAGGGTGAAAAGACTGTTTTTACCCTTTGGTTTGTAAGTGGATAGGGTAACTCTCTACAAAGAAATACAGAGGAGATAGGATTGCTTAAAAGCCAGCACTGCTGACTAGCCTAGCTCCACATTACTGAATGTCTTTCAAGGTTTTTCTTTAAAAAATGCAACAGAGAAATTCAAATTGTTAAAGTTAATTGCAGGATTAAATTGCCATTTGTCAATAGCAATGTAATTTGTATTATAAATTATAGGACTGTAGCTTTCAGGCATATTTTATCAATATGTTTCCAATGATTTAATAACAATATTTCTCAAAAATAAGCCAAGGCACTTTTTTCCTCTTTTTAAATGAACATGTTCAGAGGGTTTTCATCAGTGTGCTAGCCAGCTCTGCAAAATTTCTAGTAAATAAATTATCACCAGGAGGCTCAAAATCCATTACCATAAAAAAAGCCATTTTTCCCTCCCTAATCGATTGCCCACTGTGCGATTGCTAATGGGACCATACACACATGTTGTGCAGAGGGAATTCATTTTCAGGTTCTCTCTCTTTTTTAGAATTTATTTTACAAAGAATTTCTCACTAAACTCATAAATTAGTCAATGCATAAAATGAACACTTCAGCTTCCAGCAGGAGAAACGTTAAGGTTGTGCACCCAGAGAATTTTCCAAGCTGGTTCCTAAGGAAATTGAGATTGTGCTAGGTGCTTTGCAAACACTGCAGCACCTGCCTGGGAGAGCCAGCCCTTTTCCTGCTCCCAGCATTGTAGTTTCCCTGCTTACTGTCTCTGCAGGAATGCTTTTCCTGTATGTGCTGATATTCCACTGACAAGTGCACTGAGTAATACTGACCTTTGAACTTGGACGTTTCAAAGTGATCTTGGGACAAATAGATCCATGTTACCAAGTTATCTCAGATGATTTCCACACTCTCATCTTTTACCTCTAGTCCCACCCCTGTATCTTTCATAAATGATATTATAGTTGAATAAATCCCAATTTATAGTGTTTTTTAAGCCCAGAGCCTTGGCTACCAAATCAGCCTTGCCCATGTACACAATAGCCAATCCTAGAGACTAAAATAAAGCAAGTATCATGGAAAGGGCCTATCTTTCAAAT